AGAGATGGAGTAAACACTATATTTAGTTGTAAAAGGGTATATTCAACTAGCCCAAACTCTGCAAATAATGGTCTAATTTTGTCCATTTCTGATTTTGGCCTATATCCACTTGACAAACCTAAATAGAAGAATGAAAACCTCCTTTTTATTTATTTTTTTATCAGCTAAGTGGGCTGGACAGAAAGGAACCTATAGTACCGAAATTAATATTTTCAGGGCTCTGGGTTTCTTTCAAAGTATACTGCCTATTTTATATATCCCCTGTGCAATCTGCATAAGCTTAGAGGTACACTATAGTGTATGGAATACAACCATATACAACTCTGCTTAGGGGGCTATCGGCTGTACCTTACTGACCAGGCCAAAAGAAGGCTGAAATTATCATCCGAGGTTGCTGTATCTCTTGTGCAGAACAGGCTTGCTGGTATTTTATATCAAGACTACCCTTTTGGGATCAGTTTGATATGCAAATGGTATAGGTTCTTTCTTCAAAGGCACAAGTGAGCAAACACTTTATACAAATACACCAAAACTAGATTGACTTCCTTAACAATAGAGCCTTTTGCAGCCCGATTCTGAATATATAAACCTCCATAGCATGGTTGAAAAAAAATGGGCAAAATGTTAACGTTGTCTATTCTGCATGTGTCATTCGGTTTCCACAGGAAACTACACTGTAATCCGAGTGCCAACAGTAATACGGTAAAGTATTCCCTTTCACGGGCTTATACAATTCTATCTTGGATGGGAAAAATGGGAATTTCATTATATTCCCTATATGCAAAAATTGCCTCTTTATGGTTGCTCAGAGCATTATGAATTACAGGATAATCTCAAATGGGGTTATTTCCTAAAGAAGGAATTGTGGAGGTTTGACATCGGAATTGGAGAATTATGGTTATGGTTATTCCAACCATCATAAGCCTTTCTGCTTTTAGAAGTGGTCTTCGTGGTAAAAGTCTGTATTTGCAAGTTTTGTTACATGAAACATTGTAGATGCAGAGTAATCTGCAATTTTGTGTGGCTAGTTGCACCCCCAGCCTGCATAGCTTAAGCAGTGCTGCCTAATGTCAATTCTTGATCAATTATGACATCTGTAGTCCGCATGCACAGTAAACTGGAGACAGACAAAATGAGCTTCTCCCTTGCAGCAGTGTCTGCAAAGTGTAAGAGCTGGTGTCCTGATTGTCCTCAACTTCTTCCTTTATAAGAATTATTGAGGACGCTCTGCTCCAAAGCAGCCAAGCTTTTTTTTTTTTTAGCCTTCTCCAGATCTGTGCCTTGCACAATCTTGTCTTTGACCTCCTGGCCTGGTTTTATTTTGATGATGATCTTTAGATAGTGCCAACATATTCTGCAGTGTTTTACGATTATAGAATGGGGGGATAATTGACATTGACAACATGTAAATAGCATACAAAACATTAACCGAGACAAAAGGTGAAAAAACAAAAACCCTGCTGAAACGAGCTTAAAATCTATGAGGAAGGGGTATAGTCACACAAGGAATAATGTCAGAGGGGAGGAGGGATTGATGTGTAAGATACCGGTGTCAAAATACACTAGTAAAGTGTGTGTGTGTATGTGTGTGTGTGTGGAAGGAGAGCGAGTGAGTTGGGCTATGGAGACTAGGGAACAGAAGAGGACAGTTGTTATGAGAGAAGCGTCATCATGCACAAAGATAACAGGATTCCTAAAGAGGTGTGCTTTCAAAAATGTCTGAATAGACTGGATGAAATTGGAGTCTGATCAGTGGGAAGGGGATTTCATAGGAATGGGGCAATCCTTAAAGAAATCCTACAAATGAGAGTTGGTAGTGTGGGAACTAGCAAATATCAGGAGAACGTTGTTTGCAGAGCAATGGGAACAAGAAGGGAAGTGTTCGTTGCGTAAAAAGGAAATGTAGTGAAAAGTGAAGTTAATGAGGTCTTTGTAGGTTAGTGTTGGTAGTTAGAATTGTATCCAAAAGGGTCCAGGAAGTCAATGTAATTGGCTGCTACTCCCACATCTCACCCCTCTGTCAGTCAAGAAGATGAGCCTTACTGCAGCATTGATTTGAGACTGAAGAGGGGCAATGCAGGTTTTTGGAAAGCCAATGAGCAGTGAGTTGCAGTGGTCCATTTGGGAAACCCTGATCTGTATTTACAGGTGTGAGCCTGTTTTATAGACTGATCTATGCCTTTCCAAATCTTGTCAGTTGAATTTGCTGCAGGTGGACTCCAACCAAAGTGTAGAAACCTCTCAATGATGATCCAGAGTAATAAAAAATGCATCTGACTTAAATTTCAAGTGTTGTAGCAAAGGGTGTGAATGCTTATGTTAATGTGATATTTTAGTGTTTTATGTTTAATAAATCTACAACATTTAAAAAAAAAATCTGTTTTGCTTTTTAATTATAAGGGAATTTAGTGTAGACTAATATGAAAATAAGAAACAATTACAGCATAATGCTGCAACATAAAAACATGTGGAAAGAAATGAAGGGGATTTAATACTTTCTGAATGCAGCTGATATATAGTGTGTGTCTTTACCCAGAGAGTTTACACATTTTCAAGTATAGTAGGTATTGTTACAGAGGGTTATAAAATTAGCACTAGAACATGCTAGAGTCCTGCCCGTGTATGTTAATACTTTTTTATAAAAAGTACTGTAAGTATCAGACCACAAACTATGCAACAATGTGCAATGTCAATCAGCAGTGGCCAAGGCCAGTAAGGTATTGTCATGCATGAAAAAGGGCATTCATTCTCGGGACAAGAATATAATTTTGCCTCTTTATAAATCACTGGTAAGACCCCATATTGAATATGTTGTGCAATTTTGGGCACCTGTTCCAAAGAAGGATATTATGGCACTAGAAAAAGTGCAGAGGCAGGCTACAAAATTAATAAAAGAAATGGAACATATCCGCTATGAAGAAAGGTTAACAAATTTAAACCTATTTAGTTTAGAAAAAGTCGCCTGAGAGGGGATATGATAACATTATACAAATATATCCGGGGCCAATACAAACCATTGTGTGGAAATCTATTCACAAACCGGACTTTACATAGGACACGAGGCCATGCGTTTAGACTGGAAGAAAGAAGATTTCGTCTAAGGCAAAGGAAAGGTGTGTTTGTTCTTACAGTAAAAAAAAATCAGGATGTGGAATTCTCCGCCTGAAGAAGTGGTTTTATCAGAGTCCATACAGATGTTCAAACAGCTACTAGATGCATACTTGCAAAAACAGAATATTCAAGGATGTAATCTTTCAATGTAGGGTAATAACTGCTTGATCCAATGATAAATCTGACTGCCATTCTGGGGTCAAGAAGGAATTTTTTTTTTCTAGCTTGTTGCAAAATTGTGCTTCAAACTGGTTTTTTTTGCCTTCTTTTGGATCAACAGTAAAAAACAAATGTGAGGTAGGCTGAACTTGATGGACGCAAGTCTCTTTTCAGCTATGTAACTATTGTGTGAGATCCGACAGTGACCTAACAGCTAGAAGTCTATAATGACTGCATGAGGGTAGCAACGGAAGACACTGTGGATTGTTCAGCTGGACATAAAAGATAATGGTGTTTATGTCCACTCTTTTACAGGGACAAATAGCATCAAGTATTTCACGTTGAAACGTATCTCTTAATGTAGGCTTTGACATTAAAACATACCGATCTGTCCTATTTGAGTTTTCTATGCTGTAGGATGGAGGAATCTGGTTATTGTGATATGGCAAAACTATTTCTTCCTTTGCACTGAGTGGTTTCATTAATGTCAGATATTATTCCTTTTGGGTTTTGCTCACTTGTGCACAGATGATCCTTCCTTGAATTTTAGAATGTTCCATGCTGAATCAGGTTAAGTTATGTGAGGTTTAGAAAGTTAACTCCAAGTTGTATTAAATTGGAAAGTGAAAATTTAGATTTTTATTTTTATATATTTTTTTAAAGTAGCTTGTTTTGCCAACATCTCTTAAAAAAAAAAAAAAAAAAAAATCTCACTAAAATACAATATTCATTTTATTTCCTTTGACTTTTTTTAGATTGCTAGAGGAGGGTTCTAATCTTTTCCAAGTGTGACCTGCAGTTTTAGCTTTCTCCAGGGGTTTCCTGTGGATGAAAAATATATATGATTTGCCATACTTTTTGTATGTAACAAACAAAGTGTACTTTTGTCTTTTAAGTAGCTCAAACGCCACGTTATCGTTTCCTAAAGCGTTTAACCCTTTTAGTGACACTTGTACAGTTAATGTTGTTGGCTTTAGAACATCTAATAACTGTTTATCTAAAACTCAGGAAGCAGTGTATTCTGCAGTTTTCCTAGTTCCAGCAAAAGCATTTTCTGTCTGGTTCCTCCCAGATTGTTGTCAATCCCACAATGTTCTGTATGATTTCACTGCAGTGGCATGCAGCCCTGACACGTTTTTAGTTTCGAAAACCGTTCCTTTACGTCCAATTGTAAAGACAAGGGAGTGTTAACAAGCAAGCAGAGAATCAAATTAACACCGATTTATTTGTAAAATAAATACATAATACATATTAAATATGTAAGAATCCTTCTTTCTAATGTCCTCCGTAGTACAGATTTTAAGTGTTAAATGGAATCTGTAAGCTACAAAACAGTCATACGTAAAATATTGTGTAAATTTGCAATCAAATGTACAGACTGCTGTATATATTTACAATAATTTATATTTAGTCCTGTAAAATAACCATTGAAAGTGTATGTGATTAACGCCACCACCCTTCATCTAATTGATGAATGTTATATAAAACTATGTATAGTATGTGGGGCCAGCAGTGGCACAATGCCAGTGGCATACATGTTATTGGTAAAAAAAAAAAAAAATAAAAAAAAAAATATATATATATTTATTTTTTACCAATAACATGTATGTGACACGAGTAAAATATATACACCAAGTAAAAATACCTATGTTTTTGCTAGCACACTAGATGAACCTAACCGTATATTAAAACAAGACTGTGCCTGAACACCAGTTATTTGATAACTCATTGAGATGACGCTTGTGTGTATGTGTATGTGTATGTGTGTGTGTATATATATGTGTGTATATATGTGTATATATATATATATATATATATATATATATATTACATACACACACACACACACACACACAGCGTCATCTCAAGGAGTTAGATATAGATATATATTGTCATCTCAATGAGATAGATAGATATAGATATAGATATATATATATATATATATATATATATATATATATACATACACACACATATATATACATGTGTTTGTTTTTTTTTATATATATACATGTGTGTATATATATGTATGTGTGTATATATATTAACAAGCTAGCAGATATACTGCCAAGGATAACATACATGCATTTTTTATTTTATTTTTTTCTCCCTGCATGTTTACTTTGGAGATAAATTGGGGGGATACCGCTTGCAGACCTGCTGTCTGCAGCTTTTGCAAGCCCTCCTTTCTGCTTTGCAGTTTTTTATTTTTCAGGAAAATATAATAGATAAGAACAGATGGGAAGGAAAGCAGAATGGATTGAGGAGAGGTACGTTTGATGTGACTGAGCCACATTAAGCTAAAAAGCAACACAGACACAAAAAATCTGAAACTAATATATCCACTGCCGTGTTATCATACCATGGAAGAGAAATGTGACAACCTTGTTATTGGCATGGAGAAGACAACAATATGTTTGTCAGTATCGCCATTGTAAACTAATCTGTTTCCTTTGAATCTCAACTGCCAGGGATCGTAGAGCTAATATGATTAAAATAAAGGTTCAGGTTTTCAGAAACAATTTAGGAAGATTTGCAAATCTCTAGGTTTGTGGAGTTCTAGGAATCTTTGTCTTAGTGATGCTTTCGTTTAGTTAGAAGAAAAAAAAATCCCCAAGAATGTTGTTTTTTTTTTTTTTTTTTTTTGGGGAGGGGGAGAGAGAGTGAAGCAGTAATAGTTTTTTTTCAAAAGGTTTTGAATAAGAGCAGGAATTACATTTATTTTTTAATTTTTACTCGATCTGTATGAATGCTTGTAGCTGTGCATGATTCTTTAAAGACTGTACATCTTAAAAGTGAAAATAGCAAATAGTATAAATACAAGGAAATCTGATAAACATTAGATAAGCAGTAGATAAGCTCTGGGTGGCAGGAGAGACTTCTAAGGCTGATGCAGCTATCTCTTCCACAATCTGATATTGGAAGTGTGTCAAGATGTCTAGACACGTGGCCAAGTATGGCTGCCTTTTTTTTTTTTTTTTAACTTCCTACAGTGCAGTAAGAAAAATTCAAATATGTAGCATTTTTTAATTATTAAAAACGAAATTCAATATTAATAGATTGAATGGTTGCACATGATTATAGATCAAAAAACATTACTTGCATTATATAAGGCAGGGCTTGACAAATTTTCTTCAATCTTGGAGCCAGCTAAAAAATGTAGGAGCCAGGTTTTGTTTTGTTTTTTAACTAACAAACCATTGTTTTCAAGCAATTCTTAAAGGAACCAGAAAAATACAGTTTAACGTAGTGGTTCTAGTGTCTAAAGCCTGTCTCTGCAGGCTTTTCAATGTAAACCCACTGCCTTTTCAGAGAACAGGTAGCTTTTACATTACTGCCATGTAACACCTCTATTGACAATCACTCATACGTGCCACTAGAGGTGCTTCTTAGTCCACGGAGACGCCGAATGTTCCTCATAGAAAAGATGCAAATAGACAGTGTTTTGACTTGCAAGTGCAATAACCTCCCAATGCTTTGCTATGGGGAAAACATCAGATTTATGATCTCCGCCATGGAAGTGGAGCCAGCCATAGCAAGACCGGCACACCTTAGGGGGAAAAAGGTGAATAAAAACACATTTCCCATGCAATCGGAGAGGAGCTGGTCATCTAGGTTCTAAACACACACATACGCTCAGACACAAACGAACACAGGCTCCCTGACAGACACTCTCACACACACTCATACATTTATTAATTTTTATTTTAATTTAAGTCCGCCCAGCCTCTCTACATTTGGTGAAAGCTGGAGTGGATCCTCTTCTTGGGATCCAGTGTGGCTGCTAAAACCTTCAAGCTCCTTCTGCTCTTCTCCTCTGTGCGCTCTGTGGTGATGCTGGGTGCCGTGATATGTGGGAGCAGAGCAAGAAGGGCTGGAAGATTACAGCTCCTTAGTGAGCCGGCTCCATTATCCCTCACTGCTGAACGGATTTACAAATCCCAGGTGCCAGGACAAAATTCCCAATCACCGTGGCGAACTGGCACCTGGGATGTGTCGATGTCTGGCACAAGCTCAAGGAATATTGCTGGTAAAGTAAAGAAATGATGACCAGTTATGTATTTGTTTTTATTTTTTAATAGTACAGCACTTTTTAAAACTTCCAAAATGGACTGCAGAATAACATTGCACAATTAGGGCATTGCAATAGCAATAAAATTTACGTTTTCCATCCACACATATCATTTATGAGCACAAAATGATAGGTTTCCTGGATCATTGACACAGCTTATTTTATTAATTCGCTTCATTCATATTTCAAGCTATTTGCCAGAAAATGAAGTCTTTATCCGTCACCAAAAAAGAATCAAGTTTCCAATGGTCACAAATAAAAAAAAAACGTAATAAATGACTAGTGTGTAGACCAAATGCAGTGGCAGTATCCCCAGAGACCTTCCACGAAGTCTACCAGAGACAAATAGGGATACAGCTAAAAATAAAGCAAAACCGAACATACAATTGCTTAATACTGTTTAGCGTGTACAGCCAAGTCTTATCAATTTACTCACGTGATATAAGGGGTTTAAGTAGATCCAAGGTAGCCCCCTCGATCTCCTGGCACTGTTAGTGTTTTTATTTGTATGCTTTAAATTTGGTCCCCGAAGAAGTTCCGCACTGGCAAGAAGCATGTTGGACCTTATTTTTCATTTTATGGTATTGCTTAATAAATTATCTAAAGCTTTACTACCTCATCCCTTCCTTTCTCTCTTTGGCTGAAACTTGGGTTCCTGCAATACGAGAGGTTTTGGCGGCATTGTCCTGTACCTTGGAACTCTTTAAAACTCCTATTTTGTGAGTGCAATTTGATTTGACTTAGCTGTATGTGATAAACGGTATTAAACTAAATGTGTTTATTTTTATTTTTTTATTTATTTTTTTTGCTGTATCCCTCAATGTTTTTGTTGTTCAAGCCTTTTGCGATTGAAGTGCTTGCTGCCCTATGGGAAACTCAGGAAACTCCTTAACATAAGCAGTATAAGTGCATGCACGCTTTACATAAAGTGCCTCTTTTTATCATTCTAAACGGTTATTCTAAATGAGAATCTTCTTGGTATAACTGAAAAGTCCCATGAATATATATTTTTGGAGTACTTTAATGCTGGCTAGTCTATTGAACAGTGATTCAGATTACTGAATCTTTTCAAGTAGCATGTACAACTGTACACGTATAGCTTTATTTTTACCTTGTAAATTTTGTCCAGATTGAAATGTATAGATGGGAAAAAGTCTGCTCTATAGATTAAAGACAAAATCCTTAGAAATATACTATCTCTGTGATCTGCTAGACTAGAGCATTCTATAATGGAATAAAGCTGTGATTTTTAATTTTTTTTTTTTTTTTTTTAATGAAAACCACAACCGCACACACACACACTATTTTATTTCCTGTCTCTATTTTTTCCTCACTGCGCTTGGTAACCTGTACATTCTCGAATGGCAAACAGGCTGCACCCAAAAACTTTCTGGAGTCTCTTAGCAATTTGGTATTGATGTAGTGTATGTGTGTGTGTGTGTATATATATATGTATATGTGTGTGTGTGTGTGTGTGTGTGTGTGTGTATATATGTATGTATATATGTATGTATATGTGTGTGTGTGTGTGTGTATATATATATATATATATATATCTCTCTATCTCTTCAATAAGAATGTCAAAGGATTGATCTGGTTTGGGTTACTTGCATGCCATGAAATGTGTTCATTTAATCAGTATTTTAAATGAACACGTCTTTATTATAAACTCGCTTACTCGCCCATGGTATGGTGATTTTTGGAGACTGCTAAACTGTTACTAATTGAGAGCATCATGTTTCTTTACTGTAAAGGCAATGTTGGTGCCAGGATTAACCGTAAAGGACCACTAAAATCACACAGGCCACTTTATCTCAATGAAATGATATTTGAAACTACAATGTAAAACATTGTATTTTGTAATTTTTATTTTTTATTTTTTTTTAAACTGCAATGGTAATATTGCAGGGTTAAATCCACCTCTACTGGCTGTCTTACGATCGCCACTAGAGGCGATTCTAGTCACTTGATGCAGAATCCCCCATAGTCAAGCTTTGATTCGGTGCATTCCTATTGGGAAGCTTGAATGCGTGTGGCACGCATGCATATTAGGTCCACATTGCATTGGGTTTGGCCATTCTTTATCTGATGTTGCGAGAGGTGGAAAAAGGCAAGTAGAAAATCTTTTGTTATAAATATATTCTTTTTTGTATTCACTGCACAGTAAGGGGGGGGGGGTGGGGGAGATATCTAACTAGGGACAGGAACACTAAAGCATGGATTTATTTTTGCCACTGGAATGGTTCCTTTAACGTTAAAAATAAATTGCTAGATTTTTAATGTTGGAGTCTAACTTTAAGATAGGAGCACTACAACTCCTTAGTCATTATTTTAGGAGTACATTATTAAACTAATTTGGTTCTAGTAATTTGATCCACATGTTTACCATGTCCATTTAACTAAATAACAAGCTGCTGAAATGTAATAAAATGGATGTACGTGAACTGGCATAGAACAGTAGTGCTTCTTCCAGGCTGACTATATGCATCCAACTAGTCTAGTTTTAACTATAAATTCTCCTGTTCAGTGTAACACCAGTTGGTGTATTTGAGAAGCTCCCATCAGAGGCACAAGAATTTTGCCTTGTGTGAGGTTGTGTACCCCCCGACAGCGGTGTCCGTGAAGCAGGATGCTGGTGAGTAGCTTAACATAGGGCAGATCTGTCTTAAGATTTGTTAGGTCAGCCGGGCGAGTATGCATACCAGGCTGCCAGCCAATCAAACAGTTTGGTCCATCAAGAGCAATCCACGGTTTTAGATCAACTCCTGATAACCTTGTGTTGCTTTACTATAAA